CTCTCTCTCTCTCTCTTAAAAAAAATATTAAAAAAAAAGAGCACCAGAGTTTAAACTGAAGATCTGGATTCAGATTCTAGCTCTGCTACTCACTAGCTTGAGGTCTTTAATATCTCAAATCATTTCCTCATCTGGAAATAACTGTCTCTGGAATTGCTGTAACTTGTTGCATTAATTCAGCAAATTGCCAGAAGTGCATAGTTGGTATCTAAGAATTGAAGGAGTATGAATAGCCAGGTGACCACAAGTATAATGGTTGGTTGAATACTTTTGTTTTTTTCTCTTCTGCTTTTAGATCACCAAAAACTAGAACGTGAGGCTCGGATATGCCGACTTCTGAAACATCCAAATATTGGTGAGTGCCCTGTACAGAGTGTTCTGTGGGTATTTTATGGACAGTAGAGAGAACCGAGATTGGTTGTTTTTGTGTATGGAGTCACCTCTGTTTGTGGGTCTTTATTACCTGTATTTTTTTTTAAAACCCAAGCAGAATAGCAGCTGTGTCTTAGAATTCTCAAGTTTTCTTGTTTAGAGACCTGAGTATCTCCATTGCAGCAGAGCCATCTCAGGGCTGGGATATGAGGCATTATAATAGGTTTCAGACTCCCTTTCTCTTTCCGTCTTTGGGCTAAGGTCCAGAGCCCTCAGTATGTGAGGTTCCGGGCTACTAGCTGCCAGCATCCTTCACCAGGGGCCTTCCATAGCCCTCATGAAAAACTCAGGATTTTGTTTCTAGACTTGAAAGAGTTTTGTTCCTGTTGCAATGTCCTGCTCACTCTGAGGGTTTCCATGGCACTTCCATTTGTGTTTCCCGGAGCTAGGAAAGCAAGTTGCCCACCCGCCTAGCTTCTCTGGAGAAGGGATGGCAGGGGCCACTTGGATGGGGAAGGAGAAAAAATTGAGAAGATTTCTCTCTGTTCCCATCCTGACTTGGGGGACAAGAGCACATTGTTGGTTGTTCTAAAGCCTGAGGAGGTTTGCCTGCCACAACCCACTCCAGCTCAGTTTTACATTGTTCAGCTGAAATAATCTTTGCCAAAAGCGTTGGCCCTGATTTGGTACTGTTTGCAGAAGGAAAGGACAGACACTGGGCTGGCTGCAGGGTTTGAGCAGAAACCCTGGTGCTGACTTGAGGCAGAGCAGGGAGCATCTCCTAGGTTTTTCCCTGAAAGTCCTGAGTCATCACAAAAGACAACACGTGTTCTGTGCTCCTCAGGCATGGCCTAAATATCAGGGCTCCCACAGTGCCCTGAGGCCTCCTGCTCCGCTCTGTGAGCAGCCAGGGCTGTGAGGCCACTTGCAGAAGCTTGATGCTGCCTCCAGAGCTATCAGCCCGTGGCTCCCCAGGTCTCAGAAATCCATATGAGCTCATAAGTGGAGGAACTGAGGTCCTACTGCAGCCCACAGGGAGAGGAACAGCTCTGAGGTAACCAGAACTCCAACCATGCAGGGCTTTATAGATCGTAATCGGTGGCTTAGATTACACCCAGTGCAGATTGGCATAGCTAAGCCTCCGCTCCACCTGGTGCAGTATGTTCCATGGAGCCAAAACCTTTCAGCCAGTGAGTCCTGGCCTTAGCCCTCCTGGGTGGTCTTTGAGGTTAGACCTTCACCTGAAAACTGCATGATGGGGACCAGTGTGTTGTCTTGGGTAAGAGATGGCCAACAGAGAAACACCTAGAGCAGCAGTCACAAATTGAGGCATGTTTAATTTGGCTGGCTCAGCAGTCTAAAAATATTTTTATTATTTGCCAATATTTAAAAACAAGATTCCACAATTTGAAAAAAACAAAACACCATTTCCCAGCTTTTTGAATCAGAAGACCTGGCTTTAAAGCCATCCACCAGCTCAGAAGCATTATTGGTGGACCAGCCTGGGTCTCAATGCCTGAGGACAATAAATTTCCTTTCCTTTGTGCTTCATATGATCAGCTTATACAACAATGAAGTGTTGTCTTCATGTAGAGAGGAGAATAAAGGGGGAGGGGTCAGTGATAGAGGATGCAGATTCATATCTGTATCATCTATGTTAAAGGTGACTTTGACCATAGAGGGTCATAATAAATAAACAGGAAGGACAAAAATGGGATGCTAGCAGGAAAAAGTTTTAATTTCCTTTTTCTATATTTCTAGAATTAAATATATTCCTTTGACCTCTTAAAATTACTCGGTTTGGCAGCCGTTTCCTTTTCCACCTACCCCTAGCTCAGAGTAAAGACACCTATCCCAGGTGTGGTAGGAAGGCAGCAAGACTCAGGAAAAGCAGGCGTGGCAGTCACTTTGTCAGGATCAAATTGCCTAGAACTATGCTTCCATTTCCTATCTGCTTACAGGTCCTGGGGAATATTGGTTTGAGGACCAATTCCAGGGTTAAGGGCAGGCCAGAGGGAAGGGTGAGTCAGGGCTATGTCCTGGGAGCACTGGCTGGCTGCCTGGGCCCTCTGGCTTCTGATGGGAACCAGGACTCCTGGAGATGTGACTGAGCTGCAGGTCCAGGAGACGGAGGTTGCCATGGATCCGGACCTGGTTGTGGCTATAGAGGAGGCAGTTGTGTGCCCCTAATTCACTATTCCTCTCATCTCTCCACTGTTCCTTCAGAGCTGTGGCCCTTTTGGCCGTGGCCTTTTTAAACTCCATCCCAAAGAGAGACAATTAGATCAGCCCAAGGGTGGTACACAGTTGAGGAAGCTGAGAGCAAAGAGCAGATCATCAACTTCCGACTGTTTTCAGGCTTGTAGGCAGTTGAATTCAGAAGGGATATTTGGTACAAGGGGCTAGGTATCCCCAGTTTTTTCCCCTGATATTCTTAGCAAAGTTAAAAGCCAGTGAAAGACTGAACCCCAAAGTAAACTGTGGACTTTGGTTAATAGTGGGTCAGTATGGTTCATCGATTGTAGCACATGTACCACTCTGGTGTGGGATGCTGATAGTGGGGGTGGCTGTGCATATGTAGTGGTGGGGGTATATGGGAACACTCTGTACCTTCTGCTCAATTTTGCTGTGAACTCAAAATTGCTCCCCCAAAATAAAGCATATTAATTAGAAACAAGCAAATAAAATGTCTATTGGATGTAAGGCACACTGTTGAACTCGAAACAGCCCTGGGAGAGTGGCCAACAGTGGGGAGTTGAGTGGAGGAGCCATGTAGTGCCGATAGTCTGAAGTCTGAATGGAGTGCGTTCTACCTGTGATCTGCTTGCTCTCTGCTCTAAATTCCTCTAATGAATAGACTCTGTCTTCCTTCGTGCTGAGCTGCCCCAGCAGTTTCGATCACAGTCTAGAGTTGTGGTTTAAAGCAGCACTTCTCAAACTTTTATGTGCTTATGAATCAGCTAGGGATCATGTCAAAATTCAAATCCTGATTCAGTAGGTCTGGGGCAGGCAGGGCTGGGGGTGGGGGTTGAGACTCCTCATGGCTCACTGTCTCCAGGTGATGCTAATGCTGTGGCCCACGGTCCATACTTGAAGAAGCCAAGGTTTATGGATTGGAGTTATGTTCACTGGGTTTGAGTTTGGGTTTTTCTAATTAGAAGCAAGTTATTTAACCAATATGTATCTGCCTTTGTTTTGTTGTCTGGGCCCCTTCATAGAGTAGCAAGAGGGTTCAGTAAGTAAAGGAGGCCAGGAAACAGAGGTGATAAAAATGAAAATGGAGATTTCAGCTTCCAGGACCCCAGCTCCATGCAAAGCCACCATTTACCTTGGGCCTAGGGTGTTTTAAGCTCACAGTAAGTGTAGTAATAGTAGTTGCAAAGAAAAGGGAAACATTGGATGTGAGTGACCTTCTCAGGAGGGGGAGAAGTCCTGTCATACCCGGTCCCTGGGGGTCACACTCAGTCCCCCACAAGCTCCTGTGGCAACAGGGCCTCTGTCCCACCAAGATATTGCTTCAGATGTTTTTATTTTATTTTATCTTATTTTTTAAATTTTGAGACAGGGTCTTGCTAAATTGCTGAGGCTGGCTTTGAATTTGCGATCCTCCTACCTCAGCCTCCCGAATCGCTGGGATTACAGGCGTGCGCCACCGCACCCAGCTGCTGCAGACATTTTTAACAGTGACACTTTTTCAGTGTTTTTTTAGAAAAGGATTTGTTAAATGTAGTATATTGTTGGGTGGTTTTTTTGAGAATTGGAAATAGCCACAGCATTTGGGTTGTAGGTTTCTCAGTCCTAGAAGATATGAAATATCAGAGATATGTAGATGTTTTGACCTGCCCTTCCATCCACTGATTTTTAAAGAATAGTAATTAGGGTTTTGTGTGTGTATGTGGTGCTGGGATTGAACCTACCTTTACACATGCCAAGCAAGCACTCTATCACGAGCTATATCCCCAGCCCAGTAATTAGGTTTTATCATTGAAATGCAGTAATGTTTTGAGTCCTTTTCCTAGATCTTCCTGTTTATAGACATGGTCTGGTCCTCTCTGACCTTCATGCCTTGTCATTACTGTATAATGGGCTGGGTATCAGGTTATTTTATTCACCCCAGCCATAGCACTCTTTACTCGTACCTCACAGATCTCTAGTTGTGTCTAGTTATGTATTTGTTTAGTTGCTGGTTAAAGTCTATATTTTCCCTTTGCTTGGAAGCTCTGTGATAGCAAGGCTGGGCTCCCTCTTCACAGCCATAGGTATAATCATACCTGCTTTGAAATAGCCATCTAATGGGCATTATTGAGCCAATTAGAGTGGCCAGCACTTGTGGGGACAGATTTGAACTCCTTTACCTAAGAGGATGGATGGACAGAGTGATTCTTTAGTTATTGCAATATCAAGGATGTTGATGTCAGTTTGTCTTCAAGTCCAGTTTCTGCCACTTAGTGTGACTTTGGACAGGTTTCTTTTGAAGCTTCAGTTTCCTCTCCTATCTGATGAGGGCACCATAAGTAGCTACACTACAGAATTAATGCCTGGATCCAGTAAAATAGTGCATGTAAAATACATGGTACGATGCTTGGCACATAGGAACAGCTCAGCTAAGTGTTAGTCATTATAATTTTGATGATTATCTTCAATAATCTGGTAGTTAAGCTTAGAATGGCTCAGTTAAGTTTCTCCTCTTGTCCTCCATTCCTCATTAATTTTCTTTTCAAAATAAAATTGAAAATGATAGCAGTCTTATTCAGACCCCCGTTATCTTTGTGTGTGGTTGCCTACTCTGGGCATGCATCAAAGCCATCCAGGTCTGGGTGGCCTGGAAGGATTAGTCTTCCTTTGCTGCTCTTCTACTAATCCCCTCCCACCTGGGCTCCATGTGTGGCCTTCCTGGAGAAGGGCATATGCCAGTGACTCCATGTCTGGGCAAAGGCCTGGGTGCCTGCACCTCTGGCACTGCTCTCAAGGTCTGCAGTGCTGGGCAGGGGGCGGGCCTGGGGCAGGATCCAGGTGAGGCAGAGCTCAAGGCCAGGCCCAGCCAGACTTAGCAGGGCCGGGTGCTGGGGGCTGTCCTGGGAGCAGTTGTTAGCATTCTACCTGCTGTCCCGTCAGCTCACCATCCTGCTGCTGTTAGTCAGCTTCCTAATGAAGCTGGTCTTTGGATTCTGGGACAGCTGATTTCCAGGGGATTATTTGTATTACACACTTTAATGCTTTTTAATAGCAAATTTTTAATTAAATGGAAAGTCCTTTTGGAAGCGAGGGAGCAGCCGCAGCAGGACTCAGCATGAGGCACCAACTGAGACTAGAGAAGCAAAAAAAGGAGGGAGGAGGCTTTGGGGAGTTTGATTAAGCATGCTCGGTTAGGTGGGTAAGATGGACGCAGGAGTCTTGCTGTAGCTCCCTCCTTGTGTCCTAAAAGCCCTCTTCTGTCATCTGCAGATGTAGGGAAGTATGCAGGGTTGAATAACCAGATCAGATCAAATAGTGTAGGCCATGCAATGTGTAGATGGTTGTTCAGCTTTGGATCAGGCCCAGGCAGGCCTCTGTGTCTGCATTTGTCAAGTAAGAAAAACAAGGGGACTGTAGTGATGGTTCAGTGCCTCAGGGCGGCTGGGTGCTGTATTTTGCATTCTGGCTGATCCTTCTTTGGCGTGAAGGGGACTTAGGGAAGTGCCTCAGCCCTTAGAAGATGCTCTGGCACTGGAAATGGAAGCAGTCTGGGCCTGCCAAGGAAGAGATAGCGTGATTTCTTTACATCTGAACACTTCACCAGTTGGTTTGGGGTCAGGCCATTCCTGAAGAGCTGCTTTAACTGCTGAGGACTGGAGCAAGGGTCAAACAGAGAGAGCCCTTTGGAACAGAGGTTTCTCATCAAGAGAGTTCAGGTGAGGGAAGGGACAGGAACATCAGGACAGGCAGCCAAAGCAAGTTGTGTTTACATTAGAATGATGCTCAGGGGTTGGCATTTAACCCAGAGGTGGCTTTGTGGGCAAAAGCTTGATGAAGAGACCTCAGAAGACATTAGATTGGTCTTTTGCCCAAGAGATTTGGAAGCAAGGATTGGGAAGGGATTATGCTTGCCAGCCTTTTCTTACAGTTGGTAACTTGCCCTAGTCTTCTCCATGTCTGCCCTCCTGGACCCATTTATGATGCTGTCGTGGGTACATTTGTGAGCAGTCTCACAACCTGGTATGTGGGATGCCCTGTTTCTTTAGTTAGCAGTAGTGTGAACCAGCCTTTGGAGTCAGAGAAGCCTGGGTTCACATCTTGACTCACCACTTAGTAATTCTTTGGCCTTTAGCAAGAGGCTTTATGTCTCCTAGCCTCCACTGTCCTGTTCTATAAAATGGGAATAACATTCATCTCAGGGCAGTGTAATCAACTCCTTGAAAGCAGGCGTTGTGTCTCTCCCTCATAACTGCCACCAGTAGCCCAGGGGCTGGCATACAGTAGTGCTCACTAAATGCTCATGGAATCAGTAATGTGTGCTAAGAACCTCACTACAGGAGGCCCGGCACATAAGTATGTTAAACACCTGATAAACAGGTCGTCATAGTCATAGCCTGAATGTGGCTTAACCTCCTGGGCCGGCCATTTGTTATCCTGCTTCACATGCCTTCCTGCTAGGCTCTACCTTTCCATCTTCTTCCACTACCCTTCACTCTGCTGTTCTCATTTGCCCCTCTGAAAGTTCTCCTGGTCTTTCCCATTTTCCATGCCCCTGCTGTCAGTGTTGCTAGGGGTTTCTCAGTCTGTTACACCACCATGCACTATGTTTAGGGACCACCTTCTCTGGGACTAGCCCCTCTGGGAAGGTTTCTGCTTTTCTCGGTCTTGATTTACATCTTGGCCTCGAAGCTTCTATTCTTGCCCCAGTTGGAGGCAGCAATCAGAGCACTGGTCTCTTGCTCTGTGGCTACATAACCTTGGCTTTGTGGGTGTTGAGCATGTTGCCACTTCTCCCTGCAGTGCCTTCAGGAGGGAGCCTGGTGAGGCTGACAGAATGGTACTGGGTGGGGTTGCTGAAGAGGAGGAGAATAGGATTTCCGAGTTTTCTCTCTGTTAATCTCTGTCCCCATCTCCTCTCTTGCAGTGCGCCTCCATGACAGTATTTCTGAAGAAGGGTTTCACTACCTCGTGTTTGACCTGTAAGTGCTCCTTATGAGGGTGTGGGGCCTTTCCCTCCAGCTGGCTCAAGATGAAGGCTTGGGAAAAGGCTTAACTGGGTCTTCAGCCTCTGCCAACGGTCCCTCTCCTTTGCCTGAGAGAAAGGACTTGATTGTGTACTTTCTCCGGGCATGGAGCCGGGTTGGTACCCAAAGCCCCCTGGGGGTCTCATTGCTCGTGATCTCCCCAGATCTCTGTGGAGCGCCAGCTTCAGTGTTGCTCTCACACTTCTGTTTCACAGTGTATCTTGTGCAGATGCTTGTTTCTTGTTTCTTGGTCCTTAGTGTAGAAATAAAGTACTGCTCTTTGCATGAACTTAAAATTCTGGGAATTTGAGGGTAGCTTTTATTAGTCATGAACTGGGCTCCTCTTGGTCTCTCTTCCACTTTGGTTGTGTTTTAATATCTTAAAAGTGGCTCTTTACCTCCTGGAAACTCCTTTCCAGTGCTGTAGAGTTAGGTTTCTGTGTTCTTGGTCTCATTCTCAACTTCAGTGGTAGGTCTGTCCTTCCTTGGACAGCTATATGTTCATATTGGTCTCAAACAAAGGCATGTCTTTGGGGGGTAGGTTGAATATTTTCTCTTAGATCCCTGTATCTTCATTAGCTGCCTTTAGTGTTAGCTGATCTGCAGGTTATAGAAACAGAAATATCCTGAAGAAGGGGGAGCCCAGGATACCCTAAGGAGGAGCCCCATGTCATTGAAGGATGAGTATGTTCTGGGCTCTCAAAATGTATGTGGAATTAAGGTTTCTGTAAGAGCTGTTTTACTGTGTAACTCTGTTACCTCTTAGACACTGAGGTTGGCCAAGGGACTCCACCTCCTCTGACCTCTTCTTCTTCTGTTGGCTGCAGGGTTACTGGCGGGGAGCTGTTTGAAGACATTGTGGCTAGAGAATACTACAGTGAAGCAGATGCCAGGTGAGATGAAGGCCCAATTGTTCCAGTGCAGCTCTGGAGTTTAGGATTGAAATAAGTCTTGTCCACCTTAGGGGGCTGACATTGTGCCTAATTAAAAAGCCTTTGGGGAAGATCAGAGGAACTCTTATCTGGACAGTGATTCTACAGAGCTGGACGAGGGCTGCATTCTAGGGGCAATATCAGAAGTTCAGAATTCAGCACCCTAGATCAATTTTGGCAAAGCCTCTTGAGTTTCCTTTACCCCATCACCCCAGAAATGCCTTTTCTTTGTATTACCTCACACTGTCAAGTACACATGAGGGCCCTCTCAATCCCTCTTCTTTCTTTTGACAAATCCTACTATGTACAAGCCACTGAGTGGAAGTCCTGGGGTGATTAGAAACATAAAAGATAGTTTTTCCCAAAGGTGTATGAACTATGGGAGCCATCTCAGGAGCTTTTAGCCCTGTCACTTTGTCCCTTGACTGCCAAGACCAGGTTCAACATGGGATTCTTTTAGCTGGAGTGCTATTCCACAGTCCCATGCCTCAGCCTCCAGCCTTCCACAGAAGCCCTGATGGCTCCTACATGTGACACAGCAGAATTCCACCCCCACACAGCTCTCAGGCACTTGTTTGGCCTGTCTTTCCCGCCTAGGCTCTTCCCCCGGCCCCGTTTCTTTCTGAGGGTGATGTCCTTACAACCTGGTTTTGATCATCCTGCCTGCAGCTTATCTAGCTTATGTGGCAGCTCGGGCTGCTTCTGGAAAGTGAGGGAGTGCAGCTTCCTCACAGATTTCTCAACCTCCAGCGGCCAATGTTTGCTGATCAACTTCAGATGCTTCAACCTCAGGAAAAATTCTCAAGTGGGGAGATGAATTCCAGTGCCAGCAGGGGAGGACCAGGCTGTGGGCGGGAGGAGGCGTGATAGCTCAGGGAACTGTGGGGAGGGGGGGCTGCACCAGTGGGCTTGGCCTGGCTCTGCTGGGACACTTCGCACTTTTGCCATTTTTGGCCAGAAGGCTCTCCCTGCTAGCCCGACTCTGTTCTAATAATACATTTCTGTGGAGACTTGCCTCTATAGTTCAGTCTTAAAGTTTCTTTAGCCCACTCTTGGACTGTGCTAAGGCAGCCTCAGTCTTAGCCTCTAGCGGCCTGGTAAGACCCCTTGGCTCTTGCAGGACCCTCAGCACCTCAGATTTTAGAGAAAGGAATCAGAAGTTCAGCTACCTAGCTTAGCACACCTGGACATTCTGCAGCCCTGCCCAGTACACCTGGTGGTGCCTGATGACTGGGCATCTGTTCTCTAAGCTGGGTTTTTCCTCAGCATCACTGACCTTTTTTAGGCTGGGTAATTTTTTGTTGTGAGAGCCTCTCCTGTGCATGGTAGACACTTAGAAGCATCCCATGCTAGTAGATGTCAGTAACAGCCTTCCCCCTCCCTAGGTTGTGACAACCAGAAATGTCTCCAGATAAACTCACCCCCATTTTAAAACCACTGCTAGCTGGGTGTGGTGATACATACCCTGCAATCCCAGCAGCTCTGGAGGTTGAAGCAGGAGAAACTTGAGTTCAAAGCCAGCCTCAGCAACTTAGCAAGGCCTTAGGCAACTTAAAGAGACCCTGTCTCAAAATAAAAACTAAAAAGTGCTGGGGATGTGTCTCAGTGGGTAAGCACCCCTGGATTCAATTCTTGGTACAAAAAAAAAAATAAAAGAAAACCACTGCTATAGTCTGCTCATGTTTCCTGCCAGAAGTTTGACCACAAGGCTGGCAGGAGGGTTGTGAAGTGGACAGCCTGCTTTAAGAATCAGCAGCTTAAGCTGGTTATGGTGTTGTATACCTGTAATCCTAACTACTCAGGAGGCCAAAGCCGGAGGGTCACAAGTTCAGAGCCAGCCTGGGCAACTTGGACCCTTCTCAAAATAAATTTTAAAAGATCTGGGGATATATCTCAATGGTCACGCACTTCTAGCAAGCACAGGCCCTGAGTTCAATCCACAGTACCACACACATGCAGACACAAAAATCAGCAGCTGCATGTAATTCTGGATCTTAGTTTGTCTTTTCTATGCACATTCCTCAGAAATGCTCCTTGGTGCCCCGTTTAAAAATCTGCTCAAATATATTGTTTCTCAAAGAAATCTGTGTTTGTTTTAGCTCCTCTACTAGATGATGAGCTTCAGGGAAGCTACGGGTCTTGTTCATTGTTATGTCCTGTGTAGTACAAAGCAGAAGGCCTTGGAAGCACTTAGTGAATGTTTAAATAAATGAAGGAGTACAGTCATCCCAAAACAACTTAGGGAACTCAGTTGCACTCTTCCTGCTTAAGTTGCCAGTGCAAGTTTCTTCTCTAAGAATAAAGTTACTATATAGGGAAATAGAAAAAAGGTATGGATTGGATGGTCTCACCTTTCTCAGGAGCCTGGGATGTCTCCTAATCTCTTAAAAACATGTTGGTTATGTTAGGCCTTTATAGACAGAAGAATCCATGGTGAATCTCTATTCTAGTCTTTCTTCTCCCATTTAGTGAGTGACCCTGGACAAACCACTTAATCTACCTGAATTTCAGTTTCCTTTTCTGTAAATTAAGTGTTTTTGAGGATGTGGAGGAAAGGGAACCCTGTTGGTATTGCAAATTAGTATAGGCTTTTTTTGGAAAACAGTATAGATGTTCCTCAGAAAACTAAAAATAGAATTACCATATGATCCAGCAATCCCACTACTGGGTAAATACCCAAAGGAATTGAAATTAGTATCTTGGAGAGATGTCTGCCCTCCCATGTTCACAGCAGCATTATTCACAATAACTAAGATGTGGAGACAACCTAAGTGTGTGCCAACAAGTGAATGGATACTAAAAGTGTGTGTGTGTGTGTGTGTGTGTGTGTGTGTGTGTATGTGTATGAGAGAGAGAGAGGGAGAGAGAGAGAGAGAGAGAAAGAGAATAGCAGAATACTATTCAGTCTTAAAAAAATATATATGAAATTTTATTATTTACAACAACATGGAGGACATGAAATAAGCCAGGCACAGAAAGACAAATACTACATGACCTTATTTATATGTGGAATCTAAAAAAGAATGATATCAGAAGTAAAATTAGAGTGGTGATTACTAAGGATTGGAGTGGAGGTGGTTGGGTAAAGGAAAGATAATGGTCAGCAGATTCAGAGCTTTAGATAGGAGTAGGTTCTGATCTGTTGCACATCGTGGTGACTGTAGTTGGTAATAATGTATGTTTCAAAGTAGCTAAGAGAGGATTTATATGTTCTCTCCACTAAGCAATGGTAAATATTTGAGATAAAGGAAATGTTAATTAGCATAATATACTCATCCCACGTTGTAAACGTATAAAAGCAACACATGTCCCCCACAAGTAGATGCATATTATTTGTCAATTAAAGATAAAACAAAACATTAAAGAAATGAAATGAAAACAAAATAGGTTGAACTAACTCATCATTCAGTGATTCTCTATGAACCTGTGACCTGTTGTTTTCATGCTTTTAGTCCATAGCATGTGGTCTTGGATGAGATGGTTTAACCCTGTAGTGACATTTTTTCCTCCTGCTTTTTCAGCCACTGTATACATCAGATTCTGGAGAGTGTTAACCACATCCACCAGCATGACATTGTCCATCGGGACCTGAAGGTATTACCAGGCTCCCCTCCTTTGCCTCTTGCTTGTGACATGTTGGCGCCACCTGGTGCTAGATAGTGGTACTGTGTGGACCCAAAGAAGGCTCCCTTTGGGCTCTGGGGGGGGCGGTGGGGTGCCTCACAAGGTTCTCGCTGTTCCTTCTGTAGCCTGAGAACTTGCTGCTGGCAAGTAAATGCAAGGGTGCTGCCGTCAAGCTGGCTGATTTTGGCCTCGCCATCGAAGTGCAAGGAGAGCAGCAGGCTTGGTTTGGTAAGGGTGACACTGTCTTCTCAGTTATGCAGTCCCCACCCTTCCTCCTCTTTCTGATTTGCCTTCCTCTTTCAGAACTAGAAACCAGACCTTTAATGGTCCTGGCCTCCTTGGAGAGTGGAGAAGGGTGGGAGGGTGCAGAAATCCCTCCTGGCCCTTCATGACTCAGTAAGTCTAGCTGTTGTCAGCACTGTGTTCTTGCTGCCTCTGGGGAGGCATTGGAGTTCCTGGTAGGCACATGGACTTGCCCTCTGATTTAGATTCCAAGCACTATGAGAAGCCCAGCCTCTCATCTCTCGCAGCCTGTGTGCTGAAAGCTTATGTGGCAAAAGCAGCAGGATGAAAAGGGCTTTGGGAGAAATTGCTGATATGGATTTATTGAGAGAGAAAATGGGTTCAGTGTGCCTCTACTCTCTCTTCTGCTGCAGGTTTTGCGGGCACCCCAGGTTACTTGTCCCCTGAGGTCTTGAGGAAAGATCCCTATGGAAAACCTGTGGATATCTGGGCCTGCGGTAAGCCCATTCCACGCCCTCAGCTTTTCCGTGTTAAGGGCCCTCGGCTTCCGGTGATGGCGAGAAAGAAGGATCGCTATTCCTTGCGGGTCCCACAAGTGCCTGGTGTATGTGAAATCATGGTGTTTGCTCTCATCCCCTTGGGAGGGCTGTTCCCATCACACCCTCCTCCCCAAGTAACTTCCTGTATTATGTTGCATCCTTCTTAGAGAGGGAATTGTCCCCGCCTTAGAGGATAGGTTGTGCTTAAAGAAATCTCTGAGGTGAGAGATACAGCAGGAGGGGCTAGTGACACAGCGTTATCGTCTGGCATCCACCTCTAACTCTGGTCTGGCCCTTGTCATTCTGTGTGGCTCTGAGCCCTGCATGGCCTTTCATGGTTCCTCAGGGTAATAGGTGACTGAACCCAGTGACCTGTGTGTTCTATCTCATAGGGGTCATCCTGTATATCCTCCTGGTGGGCTACCCTCCCTTCTGGGATGAGGATCAGCACAAGCTGTATCAGCAGATCAAGGCTGGAGCGTACGATGTAAGGACTGTTTTTCTAAGAATCAAGCAAGAACATCAAGCAGGGCACATGTCCTGCCCCTTGGGCTCTGTCCAAGGGAGGGGGCTTGTTTAGTGTGTCACATGACATAAGGGATGTCACGGGACTTTAAAGATCCAGGGATGGGCAAACAAGACTCAGTTCTTGCCACCGTACATCCAGGGAGCAACTTTTTTTTTTTTTTTTAACATCCTTTTTGGCAGCTATAAAATTAAGGAACCCACTGAAGCCTTTTGATTTTTTTTTTTTTTTTTGCAAAGAACAGAGAAGCTGCATCACACAGGGACGAGAAGTCTAGAGGCTCTTTCCACTGCAGTGGTACCTTAGGCACATCATTGAGTCTCTTCCCCCAAGTAGAGAGATGGAGTTGAACCAGAGAATGTTTGTTGGAGTCTGCTTCCTACTGTGATCTGATATTCTGGCATTCTAACCATCATTGTTCTATTTTCCTTTCCTAGTCTTTTAAGTTGACACAGGTTCTAGGATATTTCCAGGGCTTCTCCAACTCTCTCTGAGGCAACTTTGGGTACCATAGAATATCCCAATTATAGGAGTTGGGATGAAGATATAGCCTTCGTTTTAGGGTGTGAGGCTTACAAATTTCATATCCCACTTCCCCCTGTTCCTGCTCCTTAGTTCCCATCACCAGAATGGGACACAGTGACTCCTGAAGCCAAGAACTTGATCAACCAGATGCTGACCATAAACCCAGCAAAACGCATCACGGCTGACCAGGCTCTGAAGCATCCATGGGTCTGTGTAAGTGTTTTCAGCTGTGGACTTGGAGATCAGTGGTGACCGCTTATGTTTATGTTCCTTTTTATCAGCCGAGAATCATTCTGTTTCCTGCCCAGTAGGCGGGGCAGGAGACTGAGTGGGGCCCAAGGTTAATAAATATCACCAGGGGATCTCTAGGAGGCAGAAGGGGCTAACAGGCCTTTACTCGCCTCTCCCCTGGTTGTGAAGCTGTATTAATGGCTCTCTTTTTTTATTTTTTTGGCAGTGCTGGGGATTGAACCCAGGGCCTTGTCCATGCAAGGCAAGCACTCTACCAACTGAGCTATATCCCAACCCAGTTCTAGTCTTAAATGAGGGCTTAGGTTGACTCTTGCAGACTCTAGGTAGTTGATGATAGAAAGCAGCTGGCAGAAAGTGAATCCCCAAGTCCAGGGCATACTCGGGTCTCAACACTCATACAACTCTTAACAACTGTGACCAAGACCCAATGAATAATCAAAAGAGGTCTCTGAGCTATTAAAAAGAGCATCATGAAGTTCAGTCCTGAAGCTCCTGAGCTGGGAGGCTCCCCTAGGCTGTTGATTGGGTTGACATACTTTGTTTTCTGGCATACTTAGCATCTTGACAGCCATGATGTATTTGTTTATTTTTCCCTTCGTTCATGTGTTTACCGAATGCTTCTTTGGTGCAGATGCTAGAGGATACGAAGGTGAATGAGGCATTTTTCCTGCTCCAAAGATCTGGAGAGACAGGCAGTCAAACAGGCAACCATACTACAGTGTGAAGTATGCAAAAGAATCTAAAGGAGTGCAGGAGTTCTTGCTGTCCCTGGTGGGCTGTGGGGTCATCAAAGGCTGCATGGAGGAGGTGACCTCTGTTCTGGCTCTTGGCAGATAACTAAGAGTTCCCCAAGATATTATCCTGTAGACAGAGGTTAGCAGGAGCCAGAGTAAGAGGCCATGGGAAATCAAGTTCAAGGATTGTTAAGTGGTTTGGTTGTGAATGAGGCCATGACTATAGGAATCCAAGACAAAGAGGCCCTAAAGATTCCCTGACATCCAAGTTTCGGCCTAAGGAGTTAGGGTTTTATTCTGAATGCATATTCTGAATGCATTTAAGGGTTTTAAAGAGAGTGTGAAATTTACATTTAAGAAAGATCATTTTGGAAGCTCTGTAGAAAATGGAATTAATGAAGAAAGAGGCTGGAGTCAGGAGAGCTTAGGAAGCTGTTGTAACTGTCTAAGCAACAGATGAGGTCTCCTCTGAGGATAGAGATGGGGGAGTGGGTAGTTGAGGAGTGGAAAAATTCAGGAGATATTTGGGACATAGAATCTAAAAGATTTAGTGCCCAATTGAATTGGGGAATGAAGAAGTGGGAACTGCCATGTTTTGCCATTGAGCAGAGAATTATATCTTTCATCCATATGGAAGAAACTCAGAGGAACAGCTAGTTTGTGAGAAAAGATGATGATTTAGTTTTGTACACATTGAGTGTGGTGTCAAGAGACTTTAGCTGAGGTACCCTGTGGACAGTTAAAAAATATACCTTTATGGTCTGGGAATGCAGTTCAGTGGTAGAGCACTTACCTAGCATGTGTGAGGCCCTAGGTTTGATCCCTAGCACAAGAAAGAAAGAAAGGAAGAAAGGAAGGAGGGAAGGAGGAAAGAAAAGAAGAAAGAAAGAAAAGAGTCATAGTCTTTTGTATAGGTGATGTTGAGGCTGTAGAAGATGGGATTGTTTCTATGCTGATCAAATTCTTGAGTTTGTATTCTTCAGTAAAAGAAGAGATGGACACTAAACATCAGCATTTAAGAACAGGGAGAATTAGAGGAGTCAGCAAAAGGGACTGAGAATGAGAATTTCTGTAGTCAGAAAAGAATCAAAAGCAAAAGATGTAGAAGCTAAAAAAAGAAGGAGTCTCAGTAAGGGAGCATTGGTAGTATTGCAAGAGAGTCCCTGACACAGATCAAAGAGAATGCATGGGCTCTGACCATGGAGAGGCTATTCTTTCATCATTTCACAAAGACAGTAGAGTGAGATAGAAGCCTGTTTTGGGGCGTGAAGAGGAAGTAGGACTGAGGAGGTGCATAGGAAGTGAGGCATGAAGGAGGAAAGAAATGATACTCCTTAGAGGAGGAAGATACGTCAGAGAGGTTTGGGTTTCTTTTTTTTTTTTTTTTTTATTTGTTTTTTGACTAAAGAGTATTTATTAATTATACATTTTAGTAGGGGTCATTGTGACAATTCAGTATGTGCATACAGCATATGCTCTTCAATCCAGCTTCCCTTTAATCCTCCCCACATCTGCAGTTTCACTGTTCCACACTCAGACCCAAACCTTTTTTTTTTTTTTTCCTTTTAACTTCAACATATGAGAGAGAGCATGTGGTCCCTGTCTGGGTCTGGATTATTTAACTTAATATAATGTCCTTCAGTTCCATCCATGTTTTAAGGACTTTGTTTAAGGAGAAGTTTGAATATAATGTATAGATTACCAAGAAGAATCTAGTCTAGAGGAATGAGTCGACAATGTATCTAATTGAGGAAGCAAAGGTTTAGAGAGGGACTTCTGAGCTCTGTTCAGGAGGTCTACCCTGGTATGAAGAATGATGTTCTGAGATACAGGTTGGGTTGTGGGTGGGTAGAAATCAGCTGGTGGATGGGGGCTGAAACAGAAGCAGTATGTGCATGGTGACCTCATTTCTCTTTGTGGAGAAGTTTATGCTGAGGAAGATGAGGTGGAATGAGAGACTTGGGGAAGGTGGAGAATATGGGGAGAGTTGTTTCAGGCGCAGGAAAGAGTTGGCCAGGGGTGAGGGCAAGGATTATGTGGTTATGGGCACCAAGCTGCAGGTCCTAGCATTTGTTTTTCTAATAGTTTGGCAAAAGTAATGCTGAGCAACTTAAAATGGAAAATTGGGGAAGTAGCCCACTTGGTGGTGTGTGCCTATAATAGCAACTCGGGAAGCAGGAGGAGTGCAAAATCAAAGCCATCCATTAGCAACTTAGCAAGACCCTAAACAACTTAGGGAGCTCCTGTCTCAAAAAGGGTTAGGGATGTGACTCAGGGATTAAGTGCATCTGGGTTCAATCCCTGGTACCAAAAACAAAACAGGGTAGTACTATATCCTGAGGATCATTTTTGTGGGCTCTACCTTTCATAGTCCTATATATCTCTATAGCCCCTGAGGACATCACTATATTATGACATTTCAAAATAATTGGTTCTTCTATCCCAAGGAAGTGGAGGCCATGTCTGGATTCTGTTTCAGGAGACAAGGAAATAACTAATAAATATATCAAAGTTTTCATCCAAAATGATGAAAAGAATTGATCCTTCAAGGTATACATCCTTAGCTTCTGAGACTCCAGGTTCATTCAGGACCTTGTGGGGTATGTTGAGAGGGGCTCTTTGAAGGAATGAATGTTATAGAAAGCAGGGACCTCCCTGTGCTCTCACTGCTCAGAACCTGGACCACAGCAGGTGCTCAGTAAGCAGTTGCTGAAGGAATAACTGCCAGGCTCACCACACATAGGATAATCTTTCCCATTTGCAGCTTCCTTTGCCCAAGGAAGATTAGAATGTTCTCTCTGCACACTCATATAGCATCCGTTATCCATGTGCTTTCATGTTTAGATTGTCCTTACATAACCTTGAGTTTGGGCTTGTGCCTTTATTTTGTGTTTTCATGTCTGTGACTTCATTTGATCTTCAGAGCAAATGTGGGGTGGCTGAGTACACAGCTCTGTCCTGGCATAGCCATTGGTGCCAGGACTAAAGTGAAGGGCAGAGAGAGGGTCTGGAATGGGGGACTCATAGGCCTTTCTGTTCGGTTTCTAGCAACGATCCACGGTAGCCTCCATGATGCACCGCCAAGAGACTGTGGAGTGTTTGCGCAAATTCAATGCCCGGAGAAAACTGAAGGTAAGTCTTGGTTTCTGTGCCACTGGCCTCCTGAAATCAAGCCTGTTAACAATGCAGGTCTTGCCCCATTAGACAAGGCAGCTCTGCTCCTAGTTGAAGCTAAGCTATGCAAGTTGTAGCTAAGCTATGTTAAGGATGCCAGAATCCTGTGACTCCAGGCTCTAGCCATGAGCTGCTTTGCCTGAGGCCAGGCTATCCATTTATAGAGTCTGGTTGAACTCATAGGACTCTCCTCTTTTCCTAGGGTGCCATCCTCACGACCATGCTTGTCTCCAGGAACTTCTCAGGTATGTTTCCCAGCTGAACTCTTTAATTCTGCCGAGGTGAGTGGGTCAGGCATAGAGCACAGCCAGCCCAGGCAGTGTGGCTGTCTCAGGTGATTCCTTGAGCAGGATTAACAGGGATCCTGTTCTGAAGGTTCTGCTGCTGAGTCCTCTTACTGAAATTCTTGGTGTGAGGGGAGGAACCTTCACTTGGGCTCAAATTTATGAATTTGTTCCTTAGAACCTCCCAAGGAGTAGCCTGTCCAGAATCCTATGTACTTTCTCCCTATACATTTTTATTGAATTCCCTGAAGATTCTCAGCACTTTAGGGTTATAGCCAATCTAAGGTATTGAAGGATGCACTGGAAGGGAAAAACAAAATCAAGCTGAAATATTATGAATGTTCTCAATTGCCACCAACTGATCACTAGGGTGATCTCTTTCTTCCTTGTGTCCAAGTAGAGATGACTAATAGAAATTATTCCAGATGTTTAGACCTTTTAAGGTGACTCAGGCTTAAAATATTTTCTCTGATACTAGCTGTAAAAATGAAGAACTAGAGACCAGCCAGTGGAAGGAAAGGAACTTAGATTTACATAAGGAATCAAGAGAGTTGGGATCAGTAATTTGTAAGTCACACTTGACATTATTTCTAAGATGCAAGACACTCCACTCCCCTTTGCCCCCTGCTTTCAACCCTACCCCCAGTATTGTTTGCCCTCAGTTGGGAGCACGGTGGGTTTTCTTTGAGAAAAAGATTAATATCAAGGCTTAAATGAAGACAAAGAAGTCTGTCCCCAGCTTGCTGTAGCCCTGGTCTTCCTTCCCTCTAACCCCAGCCTCGCTGTTTTGGTTCAAGAGCCCTTTTCATCCTCCTAACAAGACTCCCTCCCTTGCTTTCCTCCTGCACCGCCATGGAGAGAGGCTTGTGTGGGAGCACCAACCACAGTCAGGGTGGGCAGCCACTTTGGGCAGGGGTTGCTTCTTTGAGCTGAAGTCCTGGTGGGTTCCCACTGTGCTGTTTCCAGGTAACCCATGGGCTTTAGCTTGGAGGAGGCTGCAGGTAAGAGAGCCTAGGGCTTCACCAGTTCCAGCCCAAGAGTCACAGGCTCTGGGATATCAGGGATGGATAGTGAGCCCCAGTCATGCCCCATCCTGGGCTTTCACCACTTACACAGGGCACTGGGAGCAATGGGTTGTCCATCTGCCACAAAGATGGAGTTGTGGCCCCACACTGTGCTTCTTTCCTCTAACTGCTTACGGCTTCTACTTTCGGGAGTTAAGAGCTTTTCTAGAGGATGCTTAGGGGCATTTTTATGCTGACCCTTGATGTCTACCTGTCTTCTCTTCTCTTGAGTTAAATGCGAAGACAGGCTACTGCTACTCTTTTAGCCTGGCCCATCAGTAGCATTTCCTGTCTTGTGGCCTTTGGTCTCCACATCACCCACCCACAACCAGCATTTCAGGAAATTGGTGTCCTGGTTTCAAGAAGTCAGTCTCTCTGTTAGGACATAGTACTTTAGTTCATCCCTAAAGAGCCTTCCATTCTTATTGCCCAGACCTCATCTGGCCTTTGAGCTCACTGCCCTGGATCAAAGAAGATGCAAAAAAATTTTTTTTTTTAAATTTCTTTAGGCTTCTAAGATGGCCTCTTCTGTCTCTGGAAATTTCTGCAGAAAGAGCTGTCTATAGGTGTGTCAAGGAGGAAAGGCACCTGTGATTCCTTAGACACAAACTAGGCTATTTCCCAAGTAGACCCCAAATAGTGGGGCCACATCTTAGCCCTGGACTTCAATAGCCTGGTGAATGGTAAAATCATAACTTCCAGAGTATATTTCTTCAGAGGCCTTTGTTGTCTTTCTGGGGGCTTATTTCTTAGGCATCTTTACCTCAAGACACTGTGAAGCACAGGCTGAGTAAAGCTGCTTCTCTTGGCTACTTCCCTTAAGAGGGAGAGCCCTTTGTCTCTGAGAAGTTAGAGGTCATAGAGCTGGGCCCATCTGTAAACTTAGCTGTCCAGAGGCCATGTAAGTGCCAGTCTTTCTACCATTCCCAGTGTGTTGAGGGGAAAGGGCTGCTCTATGCTCCAGGCTCTTAGCTACAGAGCTCATTTATGTCCTAGGGAGGGAAGGTCTGAAGGTGAAGCTTGGTATCCTCACAACCTTAAGCAAGGGCTGGATCACCTCAGAAAGGGCACCTTCCTCTCACCAAGGCAAGCTTTTACCTATGAACCCTCACCTGAGTTGGTCATGGAACAAGCACTAAGTACATTTCCTCAAAGTAGCTATATGGTGTTCCCTTCACCTTGTCCCAGCCTGGTCCTCTCAGGCTCCTGGACTGCTGCAGGACTGGCTGCACCTGCCTCATCGGCCTGCCCCTGGCGCCTCCGCTCCCCCAGCTCGGCTGGCTTGGCCATGCCGCCTGGGCCCTGCTGTGTGTGGGCAGCCAGTGGTGCCCGTGCCTCATGCTGGGGCATGCTCGCTGCTGACTGGCCCCCGTGGCTTTGCGGCAGCTCTGTGCACTGAGAGATTGTATCCCCTCAGTTGGCAGGCAGAGCTCCGCCCCCGCCTCGCCTGCCGCGAGCGCCGCCAGCCTGGCCGGGCAAGGTACGTGGCATGAGTCCTCCCTGACCGCCTGCCTCGGCTCCCTGCCACCCCACCAGGAGGGCCAGCATGCCAGGCCCACGCACCAGGGAGGCGAGTTCCATGCTTGCGGGCTGAGATGGGCATGCCAGAAGGACCACCTAACTTGGCATCTGCGAGCGCATTGTTGTTACAGAGCCCCCTAACCAGCCATGCATGCTGGGCGCTTGCCAACTCTCAGGAGGCAATAGCCTGGGGATGTGGAGCTGGGACATAGGAGCCTTCCCTCCAGGCAGCCCAAGGGCCTGACCTGCAGAGCTGCCCAGTGCTGGAACTAAGCTTCTGCACTACTGTTAAAGAGCCCACAGAGGAAGCCTTGCCCCTCAAAATTATGAAGTCTGGTGTTTGCAGGCCTCCAGGTCTGAAAGGCTGTGGAGTGCAAAAACCTCAGTCAGCCATCTCTGGGTTTGAATTCTAGCCTTGCTATACTCTGAGCAAGTCACATCAGTTCTCCCAGCCTTAGTTTTCTCATCTCTCTAATGAGGATGACAGATAACGTGGTGATGCTTAAGAACAGGTATGTCAAAGGCTGTCAACCTTACCTGTACAGAACAACCAATTACCTGGGAGCTCCTAAAGAATCCTGGTGGCAGGACCCCACCCCAGATAAACAAAATTAGAATCCCTAGTGGATGGACTAGGCGTGAGCATTTTTTTAAAACTCCCTGAGTAATTCTAGTGGGCAACCAGAATTGAGAACTGGCTAATGTAAACAAAGCCCTTACTAGTAAATATATTTTTAAAAAAATAATTTTCAAATGCAGCATAATTGGAGATCAGACCAAATGCCCTTCTTTTGGAGCCAGAATCTTGTGATGGAAGGACCCTTGATCTCACTGGAGAAATATGGGACACAGCTTAGGTAGGAATGGCCACCTAAAGAGCAGAAGGATAGCAGCAATAGTGATAACAATGGTTAGTAGGGTACTTAAATCATGTGCAAGACACTGTGCTAAATGCTTTTCAGGCATGGTCCTTTTGGACCCTCATCAGTGCCTGGTGACCTAGGCCTGTTTTATTTATCCCATTTTTAAAGAAATTGTGGCTGAGAGAGGCTTACTCACACAAGGTCACAGAGCTAGCAGCTGGAACCAAGATTTAAACCCAGGCAGTCCAGGTGGATCAGACAGTTGGGCTGATTCCGTTTTCAGCCCGTCACCAGCCTTCTGGTGTGAAGCTGGTCAGCCTTGAGCATTGTGCCACGCCTGGCTAGAATCTGATAACTCGTTATTCTGCTTAAACCTTCCTGCTCATGAGTCCAGAGAGTCTGGGGAAAAGATGGCAGCTAGGACCCAGTAAACCTGGTGAGGTCCTGCCCAGTGAAGGCTTCAACCCCCTGGCAAAATCCTCCTGTAGGTGGTCCTGGTTTCTGTGTCTGTGTCTGTCTGTCCTCACATCTGGTCTCCTTTGTGAACTGTGACACTCTGTTTCTTGAGAACAGTCCGGAGATGTCTTGCATCCTTCCAGTGTGGCTATCTGGAGAACCTCCGTGGCATCTAAGAGTGGAGCCCTCACCCTTTCACCCTGGCACTTTGTTTCTAGGCCTGGGTGGAAGCTCTCAAAGGCAGAGCTCCCAGTGCTCCTGGGCTGCTCCAGTACTGAACATGATTTCTCCTAAGCACAGGGTGTCTGTTTCTGCTGAGCCAGCTTCCACAGCAGAGGAGATCCTGGGGTGTCATCCTGAAGACCCTGACACCACTCAAGATGCCCTTCCTGCAGAGGGACTACTAGGAAGGGTCTCTTTCAGGAGACTCCTGGCCCCCTTGTCAGATATAGCAGTCTCTTTCAGATCCAGCTGCCAGACTTCAGGTTGGGACGAGGGTAAGATGCAGAAGATGTGACTTTCCTCTTTGTTTTCACAGCTGCCAAAAGCCTATTGAACAAGAAGTCGGATGGAGGTGTCAAGGTGGGTATCTATTTCTCCAGCCTTCTGACCAGAGACTGGCCTCTCCCCCTGGTAGTTATTCTTGAGAAGTCTAGGCACCTTGCTTCTCCTTTTCCTGAAAACCATCTACTCTTGCTATTCTGCTTTAAATTGGAAGCCTCTATGCTGAGAAGAGCAGGTTCCACTGGCCTGGGAGGGAAGAATGGAAAGGTGTCTCTCCTGATCTAGCTGGGTGGGAAAGTCTCAGGGGAAGCAGTCCAAATTGTAGTTTCCTAGAGCTGACCCTAAGCCTGACTTCCACACATGTGCTTCATCTTGAGGGCTTGACACTCTGAGGTATTTTAGGACATCTAATTAAACACCCCCCACCCCCTCCATTTTTTTCATAACCCTTTTTAATCAAATGAAAGCAAAGTTTGCTTGGGTGATTCAGGCAGGGTATAGGACTAGAAACCTGAAGACACTATTCTTTGGTCTTTGTCCTTTTCTGCAAAATACTTCCAGAACCCTGGTTAAATACCACTGAGTGAAAGTATCTTAAACTTTCTTGAGATTAGGCTTCTATGGGACCTGGCCGAGAAGAAGGACCAGGTGCCTGCAGGTCCCAACAGGAAGCCCTTGTTGTGAGTAGCTGTTCAGCTGAAGTGAAGAGAGGCGGGGCAACCACAGGGCCCAAGGTGCATGAGGATGCTTAGGAGGAAGAAAGGGTCCTGGGACTGGAACTTTGGATAGGAGTTCATACTGTCTTAAAGCCTTCCAACTGACATCACAGAGAATATCAACCTATAAAATTATCCAAACCTTCAAATCTCCAACAAAAATTTAAATTGGGCCTTTTTCCAGGATCTTTTGTCCCCATTCCCTTCTGCCAATCCCTTCCTTTTTCCTTTATTCTCTGCATGCCTGCTTTCTGTGTCCTTCTGCTCATAAGAGGGGAACTTGGGCTCCTTGCATACCTGCCGACATGGAACTGGGATGGCCAGGCAGTCCCCCAGTTTTGAACTCAAGCTAGGTGGGTAGAGTCAAGTCTGGAAAAGTGGGTAGGTTTACTTGGAGAAAGATTTTGGAAATTTCTGTTTGGGGAAGAAACTAAAATCAATCCATCTTTACAAAGTATTTAGTACATAACTATCAGATGTCTTGCTCTGCACACATTCTGAGAGGCACATACAGGAGGTACAATGTAGCTTTTACGTTGCCTTAGGGAGAGGAAAGTGGACATAGCTGGATCCAGCTAAACACTATTACTGGACCCTCCATGGGGTGGTTCAGGCCAAAAAGCTCATGGGAAAAAGCTTATTATAGGAAGCCTAAGATACAGGAAGATTGAAAGCAGTGCAGCAGTTGCCTCTAGGGTATGGAGTCAGAGGTGATAGCAGGGCAGAGAGAAACACCTTTCAGCTTTTACTTTGTACACTTAAATGTATTTAAAATGAGATGGTATTGCTTCTGTAACCTAAAAATAAGAATATGAATTTTATGAGTTTTCACGCATGTTCTTCACCTAACTGGAACACAGGGTGTATGGAAGAGAGATCTCAGAAATACTGCTGGGAGACAGTAGAATGAATTAGACATAACTTTCCTATGTTCATTTATGAATATGTAAACAGTGTAACTCCACATCATGTACAACCACAAGAATGGGAAGTTATATTCCATGTGTGTATAATATGTCAAAATACATTGTATTATCATATATAACTAAAAAGAACAAATAAAAATTTAAAATATATATATATATATATATACAGCTGGGGCTGGGGGCATAACTCAGTTGGAGAGCACAGCAAGCCCCCCAGCCCCTGCCAAATACAGCTGGATCAGTCTGATTGAGTAGAATAATTGGAAGTTTATATATTAGACCTTAGACAATATCATAGGCCACAAGTAGGAAAAGCTGTGGAAGGAATTCTGAGAAATATTTGAAGGGCTGAGGGTGTAACTCCATGGTAGAGCTTGTGTTTAGTGTGCACATGGCCCTGGGTTCAATCCCCAGTACAAAGAAAGACAGAGGAAGACTTAGCTGAGGGCATATGGATAAATGGAAGAGGGGAAGAGCTAGACTCAGTGGTGTCAATTAGGATTTATTGTAATCTGGCAATAGCATTGAAAAGGAAAGTTGATTAGAAATAGCAAGGGATAATAGTCAAAATTCTATTCAGAATGAGGTTGCCTGTATCTATGGTCCACTTGCGCCCTTGAGTCAGGGAATACCAACTCTGATCAAAGGTGTGTCAGTGGAAGCTCACATTAGATGTGAGGGATTAAAAAGATCATCAGATAATATCAAGGTTTCCAGCCTGGAATGTTGGTACCTCTGCTAGAAATGCGAGTAGATGTGAAGAAAATGGTCATCTAAAGAGGAAGAGTTCTATTTTGGCCATGTTGGGATTGAAGGAAAAGTGGAGTATATGGATGGACATATCTTTTTAAAGTCCCTGATACAGCCCAAGGAAGAATCCAACATTGAATCTGGGGGCATCTCACAAATGCACCCCCTCAGCCACTGTTTGTTTTTTTTAAGGATTTTTTAAAATCTTTTTTTAGTTGTAGGTGGACACAATACCTTTATTTTATTTATGTGGTACTAAGGATTGAACTCAGGACCTCACACATGCAAGATGAGCACTCTACTGCTCAGCCCCAGCCCTAGCCCTCAGCCACTGTTCATTAGATGCCTGCTGTGTGCTCCAAGAGCTGGAAGGCAGCAACATCTACCAAAGGTAGATGTACCCTTTTAGGTGTTTGCAGTGGGAGAAAGATGGGGCGGCCACCAGTTCTGGTACAATTTGATAAGGTGCCTGAAGAAGATGTGCACAGTACAGGAACTGGGGGAGTAGAGAGACAGCATCAAGCCAGATCAGGAAATTTTCCTGAAGGAGATGGCCAGGAACCGAGTTTGAAGGACCAACAGTTGGGGTTTGCCAGGTTGTGGAGGAGGAAGGATATTTCAGGCAGAGGGAACAGCACATGTGAAGTTACAGTTTGAAACTGCTGATGATTATGGGAACTTCAGTAGCTTCTGCTTGGCTAAAGGGACAAGTGAATGCCAAAAACAGGACATAAAATACAGCAGAGACTGCTGAGCTGGAGGGGAGAGGATGGATAAAGGAGCCATTTTGAGATAGGTTTCTAGCCGGGTGTGATGGCACACACCTATAATCCCAGCAATTTGGGAGATTGAGGCATGGGGATTACAAGTTTGAGGCCAACCTCAGCAATTTAGCAAGACCCTGTCTCAAAATAAAAATTTAAAAGGTCTGGGGATGTGGCTCAGTGGTTTGGCACTCCCAGATTTAGTTTCTAGTACCAGAGGGAGAGAGAAGTTTCTAGCAGAACTATCTAGAATGCTAGTCCCCAAAATAAACATCAAATGCAGCCTTGTAAGATTAAAGAACTAATTAAAAATACACAGATTCCAGGGGCTTGGGTTGTGGCTCAGTGGCAAAGCGCTTGCCTAGCATGTGTGAGACACTGGGTTTGATCCTCAGCACCACATAAATAAATAAATGAAGGTACATCAACAACTAAAAATATGCACATTATATATTATACACACACAGACACACACATGTGCATATACACAGATTACAGGGTGTAGTCTGAAATTCAGATTCCCAGAGGCCTTGAGTAGGAGGCAGAATCAACCAGTGAATTTTAATACTTTCCTTCTCCCAGATGAATCTAAAGCACACAAAAGTTTAGAAGTCTGATAAAATTGGGGGGTTATCTGTTAATAATGGACTGGAATAAGGGGTTTCAACAAGGGAAAGAACAGCTGGGTGCGGTGGCTCACGCCCGTAATCCCAGCAGCTTGGGAGGCGGAGGCAGAAGGATCTCGAGTTCAAAGCCAGCCTCAGCAAACGCAAGGTGAGACCCTGTCTCTAATAAAATACAAAATAGGGCTGGGGATGTGGCTCAGTGGCCGAGTTCAATCCCTGTCTCCCCCATACACACACAAAAAAAAAAAAAAGAAAAGAAAGAAAGAACAAAGAATTGGGAGAACAGAGAGTGTACAGTAGTGTCAGATCCCGTGGGAACACTGAGGAGGAACCTGGGCATCCAGAAACATTAGATAAATTGCTTTAAATGAAAACATGTGTGGGGAACCTAGCCTTGTTGTGTGTCCAGGTCCTGACAAGTGCAACGCACTTTTGAGGAAAAAAAGTTTTCAGGATATTTAGGAAGGCAATTTTCAAAATTAAAAGTTGAAAATAGATGGGCAGGGAAAATACCCACAGCAGTATGGGATGTCTTTTTATTAAATAGTTTCTTCAACAAATAAGAATTTCTGCTAAAACCCAGCAGAAAGATGATCAAAGAAGATGAATGGACCATCTGAAGTTGAGAAAGTAGACCTGGATAACAAATGTGGAAAAACTTTTAGCTTCACTAGCATCAAAGAAATGGAAATTGAAACAAGGTGCTATTTTTTGACTCTTAAGTTGGTGACAGTAATGAAAACCACAGTGGTCCTTTCTAATACAGCCTGTGGTCAAAAGCGCTGCAAGTGTTTCTACCTTTTTTACTTTATAATTCTACTTCTGGGAATTTCTTTCCTGATTATCTTATTTTCAGAATAATTTAGAATAGGAAAAAGTTGAAAGCAGAAAGATGTTCAACATGACATTTTTTTTTTTATAACTGAAAAGATTGAAGACAATTTAAAAACCAATAAGGAAATGACTAAGTAATTATGGGACTTCCATTTAATAGACTATTTTAAAGTTATTTGTTTTCATGAGCATACAGTTTCAGAAATGCTTTATATAAAGTAAAAATATAGCAAGAAAATATTTTACATTAAGTAAAAAAGATGGAATATAAAGAGGCACATAGGAGCCAGGTGTGAAGACACACACCTATAATCCCAGCGATTTGGGAGACTGAGGCAGGAGGATGGCAGGTTCAAGGATAATTTGGGCAACTTATTGAGACTGTCTCAAAATAAAAAGGTCTAGGGATGTAGCTCACTGGTGGAGCCTCCTGGGTTCAATTCCCCGTACCACTGAAGAAAAAAAAAAAAAAGACTAATGGCTAACTTTTCTTTAAAAAATGTTTGTAGATACTGATTTTGTAAGTTATGTGTAATATGTGTAAAAGAAAAAAAAAACCTGAAAGAACCTGTATAATCCCAGTTGCTTGGGATGCTGAGGAAGGAGGATCATGAGGTTGAGGTCCTTGTGGACAACTTAGAGACTCTGTCTCAAAATAAAAAGGGCTGGGGATGGAGCCCAGTTATAGAACAGTTGCCTAGTATGGCCAAGGCCCTGGGTTCAATCTCAAGCACTACAGAAAAAAGAAAGGGGGCAAAGGGAGTAAAAGGAAGAGGGAAGGGAAACCCATCAAAGTATATATATAAACCATAACTTCACTGGATGATGCAAATTTGGGAACTTTTTAATACTTTTATTTATTTTTGTGTGGTGCTGCTGAGGATGGAATCCAGTGCCCCCTACATGTGCTAGGCAAGCACTCTACCACTGAGCTACAGCCCCAGCCCCAAATTTGGCAACTTTTTAAAAATACATTTTTTTGTATTTTCAGTTTTCACCTAGACTGTACATGACTGTTACAACCAATAAGTCCAAATTCTCTTTAAATCAATACTTTTTATCTTTAAAGCAAGGCATAAACTTTTGTGTAGCTTATAAATTATAATTTTAAATTGTGAAAGGAAAAAGACTAGAAGGGCACTAGAAGTTAGGATGGTTTTGCCTCTCTTCTGTTTTCCAAATTATTGATAATGTGACGGCAGTTCTTTTAAACTCAGGAACATGTGTACATCAATTAATGAATGGTATGGTTGCTTAAGAGTTCTGAGTAAAGGAAAGGGAACATGAAGCTAGGTGTGCAGAGTTGGACCTTTGAGGGCTCTCTTGAAAGAGGACTTGATGACCTGTTTACAGGGGAGACCTGTAAGTTGTTCAGAAGATCCTGAGCTTTCTGCATCATGGATAATTCTTCTATGTCCCATCTTCCCTTCCCAACTTCCTCCCTCATTTCTTCTGTTAAATGCCTGTAGGAAGGTTTCCTTCTCACTGTTCAGAAGCTTACTTTGAGCAAGATGCTCAAAATAACTAGCTCTGAGACTGGGGTTGTGGCTCAATGGTAGAGCTTGTGCCTTGCATGTGTGAGGCACTGGGTTTGATTCTCAACACCAAATATAAATAAAATAAAGGTCCATTGATAACCAAAAAAAAATTTAAAAAAAAAATAACTAGCTCTGGTTGGAGCAGCTAGTCTATCTTGTGCTCTTGAGTTTGGTTTCTTTGAAGGTGAATATCAATGACTCAGGGTATGTGGAAAGTGAGAGGCTCTTCTGAGGACAGGACTGAATGGATCACAAAGGCTCAGATCCTGAGAAGCCTCAAGTTAAGAATAACTTGGCATTCTGCTAGTCCCAGACCACAATGGCCATCTAAGCTTTAAATTAAAAAAGAAGAGTAGGGAGCAGTGGCATATGCCTATAATCTCAGCTACTTAGGAGGATAAGGCAGGAAGTTCTCAAAGTTCTGAGAGAATTTTGTAAGTCTGAGCAATTTACTAAGACCTTATCTCAAAATGTTTAAAAAGACTGGAGATGTAGCTAAGTGCTAGAGTATTAAGAAGCCATGGGTTCAACTCCCAGTACCCTCCAACAACAACAAAAAAAAAAAAAGAAGAAGAAAGCGAAAAAGAAGAGGGTATAGTTATTTCCTTAAGTGCTATTTGAATATTCATTTATTTAAATTAAATATGAAAAGGAAGCTTGAACTCTTTTCCAGTGTGGGATTTTTATGTCTATGTACATATATATGCATATGTCTATATACAGCTGCATATAAAACTATATGCATATAACTTTTAAATAAATGTGAGACATGGTTCTTTAAAAGTGATCTGGCCTTTAAATAATGCTGCAGTATGCTGGTAGAAGAGTCCAGGTGTGAATGGCTGAGGGGCAAAACCCTGAGAAGATGGAGGAGAGAAGCTGAAAGATGTGCAACTAGCCTGGAAATCAGTCTTGGAGTGGGAAAAGAGTATCTCAGGTTCTTCTGCAGGACAGTTGAGGAAGAAGGGAGCCAGCTAGGAGAAGCCTGGGAATGTATTTAGCACGAGGATGAGAGATTTTCTGCTTTAAAGCAAGGTCCAGGAAAAGGCAACTGCAATGGCCTTTGACAACAAGTCCCTGAAAATCACCAGAACCAAGGACTGGGCCTGATGAATGAGCACCCAGCAGACTTATTATTTTTGTGATTCATTGCAAATTAGAATCCTGGATGCTGCTTTCACCAGGGGAAAAGCCTATTCCTTCAAAGCATTAACACTCTTGTTTGGGTAAAGGATATCGGGAAATAGGTAGGAAGAAAGATGGGTGGTAGGTTTGTAGGTAGGTAGATATAAATGTAAGGCGGTTCTTTTTTTGACAGATAATTTTGGAAGTAACATCTCATTTTACATTTGAGCATATTCAGAGGGCTAGTACAAAAGAAGCCTGATTACATTTAGATTATTCATTTTTATTTAGCTCAAATTCTAAACTATGGACTATTGTTTTAAATATTTGTAGTCCCCCTTTTTTTATTATAATACATGCCCAAAAATGTTTTTCAAAGTAAAACATTAGCCCCGTTGGGGACAGAAACAATTTATCAGACACATTTACTGTGCCCAGAACAGCCCTCAGTGTTTGTTGGATGTCACTAAATTAATGCTCAAAAGTCAAACAACAGATGGACATATTCCAAGGGGATTCTGTTTTCCTGTGAGTTAATGGTAATATACATAACTCCCCTTCACCTTTTAGACACAGTGTTCTGAGATGAGTTTTCAATGTTCCATGAGGTCTTCCTTTTGATGCTCTTGTTTCACATCTAAACATAAAGTCTTTTAACATCTAGTTGAGGCTAAGGAATTGCTACTTTCAGCATTCCCTGTGGCTTACATCTCTGCATCTTTATGATCACTGCACTTGTAATCACCAGCACTCCTGTTCTTCTATTTCCCAGCAATTGCAAAAATGCAGTCAAAATTTGATCTTAAAAAAGCATGACCATACTGATATAGAAGGGGATGGCCAAAATTTAACTGTGAGATCATTTTCAAAAACCCAACATTTTTATCAGAAAAGCAATTTAGGAGTGCAGCAAAGTCTAGGTTCAGAAGTAAAATGTTAATGCGGGGATATAGCTCAGTTGGTAGAGTGCTTGCCTTGCATGCACAAGGCCCTGGGTTCAATCCCCAGCACCACACACACACACACACACAAAGTTATTAAAGCTAAGGATGGCTGGCACTGTGGCACACACCTGTAATCCTAGTGGCTCTGAAGCCTGAAGCAGGAGGATCGTGATTCAGAGCAAGCCTCAGCAACTTAGCAAGGCCTTAAGCCATTCCACAAGACCTTGTCCCTAAATAAAATACAGAAAGGACTGAGGTTGTGGCTCAGAGGTTGAGTGCCCCTGGGTGCAATTCCTGGTACCCCCTGTTGCCCTCCCCCCCAAAAAAAATAAAGCTAAGGATAGTCTAGAGTAGCTTTTGTTACTTTCCTGATGGTAGCAGCTCACTCATATTTCAGACAGATCTAGCGGTATGGGAAAGGTACAACTAGCCTTTTGAACATAAGCCTATAAATTTGCAACAGTCAGATATTACTTACCCTCACAGACTTGTGACTTAATCTCCCCAAGAAGCTTTCTCCGAGCAAGGCTGAGACTTCTCTAATATACTAAATCTGTGTTTGTGAACCTGACAACAGAGTTCTTCCCCTCTGGGATCTGGAGGGGTGTGTGTGATTTTCAGTCTATATGCTGTTTTAACCCTTCTGGTGCTGAACTCCCGGTCTCCTCCTTCCTTTCTTCTCTCCCCCAGTGCAGAGCCCATGCTGGTGCACTAACCTGCAGTGTCTCTGTGCTTCTCTTCTTACCTCCTCTTTCCCCTTCTCTTTCCTTTTTGCTGTGATGTGTCCAGAAAAGGAAGTCGAGTTCCAGCGTGCACCTAATGGTGAGCCTTGCCTGCCCACCCATCCGCCCACTCCATGCTGCCCGTGCCCGCCTGCCAGCCACGCAGACCCATTCTGCCATGTGCGTGTGCTTCACTCATCCTCACTGCATGTCTGTGCTTTGTGGGCAGGTGTGGCCTGTCCTGCCAGATGGGGGCCATTGCCCAAGGTCACCCAGTGGCCTCAAAATTGGGCATTGAAAGGTGCACTATGGCACCCCCTGCTTTGGAGTTTGGATGGGCCTCCAGTAGGGCAGGACATGAAGCTGGTAGGGACTTGGGGCCAGGTGGTAAGCACAAGGAGAAAACCTCACTCACTCTGATTCAGGAGGAGAAGCCTTGCTCACTGGGCATAAGCAACTGCTATCTACAAACTGGCAGCTGGTAGCAGAGTTGCTGGTTGGCTCCTGGCTCTGATTCTTGCTCTCCTGGGTTTTCCCCTGTGCAAGTCCCATCTTCTGGGTGGGCCCAGAGTCCTATCCTTCCCACCTAGCCTTCAGCACAGCTGAAAGATTACAGTAACACATCTTCTTTCTCATGGGACATAGGGCACCAAGGAGAACACAGCAGGTTTAGTCATTATGAAACCATCCACTAAAACCAGAGGCGGAGCCACCTGGGTTTCTTCCTGGCCCTCTGCAGATAAAGCAGGTTTTACAAGCACTCTGTCATTATTGTTCCCTGTGAGGGCCTTGGTGTCAGCTGGGCATGGCAGGCAGAGCAGCCTTCTCCGATCAACCCCAAGCAAGAGGACATCATCAGCAGTTGAGCTAGGAGGATTCCACTCTTTACTGGTGGAAACAGAAGAGATCAGCTCATGTTATTCTCGGCTCATGTCCTGACTACTCCTGGGGTCTTTCTTTCTAGCCTGCAGAGTTCAGTAGAGTCTTTTAGAAATGTGATACCTAGCTCGAGGTTCCATGTCTTGTTTTGGGTTTGGGGGTGTCTCAGCCACTGACAGCAAGCTGGGGGTGGACTTCAAATCTGGTCCAAGAGGCTTCCAGGCAAGATGTAGGACAGTCTGGATGCCTTCTGTGTGTGTCCTGGGAGAGAAGAAGCACATGCTAGCTGTCAACATGTCCTCATTTACACTCTGAACAGAGGCGGTAGCCATAGGCAGTAAGCACAGGGACATTTGTCTCTTCCTGTTAAAGGCATCAGACTATTCCTTGGTGACCAAAACTCCACCTGGACACCCAGTGAGACTATATACTGGTTAGGGACTTATTAGATGCACAGAGCAATGATGTGGCTTCTTGCCCTTGAGATTGGCCTTCCTTCCTGATCAGCTTCCTCTTAGCCTCACCCTGCTGTGCCACTCTAATGTTTTGAATGGCAAGGAGAGATCCCTCATGGTCATGTTGCTGTTGGGAGTGTTGGCCTGCAGGGTGGCCTGCTCTTTCCTGGGGACTGGGTTCTGGAACCATAGCCACAGCCCCCACCCAAGAATTGCTTGCCCTCGGAGCTCTGCCTTCAATTCCAGCTGATCAAGTTCAGGATTTATAGGACAGAAGATGACTAGCACTACCCTATCTCAGCTCCCTTTGGCCCATGGATACATTTTGTATTTAAATTTTAATTCCACCCCTTTCCTCTCTGGACACCATTTCCTAGGCCAGGTATTCTTGCTCTTCTTCCTTTTCTTTTCAGATCAGGCTTCCAGCTGGTATTTTAAGGGGAAGAAAATACAGATGCCAAGTGGAGGGTAGCAGGAGATTGCCCACAGATAAGGGCACCAGAGTGTCTGAATTTATTCTGCTTTCTTATAAATCACTCTCCTTTCTACCTGTGAAGTGGAAGAAAGACCCTAAATTTCTTCAGGTCAGATGTAATTGTGCAATGACATGGTACCTGGAATAAACATTTCTGGAGAGATGCTCTAAAACAAGTCTTTGACTAGTCCCACCTTGAGGGTGTCTCCAGAGCTAGGTTTCTGGGCCTCTCACAATAGTCCCTTCCACTGATCATCTCTCCAGCCATTGCTCCCATCTGCATAGTGTTATGATGGCCACCTCAGGCCTAGCTCCTCCAGGCCAGGTCAGGGGTCAAGGGAGGTCTGGGAGTCAAACCTGAGCAGCCTTGGTGACTCTGGAGGAACTAAACCATCTGTTTTCTTGTCTCAGCCACAGAGCAACAACAAAAACAGTCTCGTAAGCCCAGCCCAAGAGCCCGCGCCCTTGCAGACGGCCATGGTACCTCCTGACTACAGCTTCTCTGCCTCTGCCCCTGGCTGCCTCCTGCTCCTTCCCTCTTCCTCTTCTTGCTCTCTTTCCCCAGACTCCTTAGCCTCTTTCCTTTTCTGATTCCTATAGAGCAGGCTGCTCTGTGTGCCGTCCCATAGGCCCCTTGCCCTTCATTTTCCTGCTTGGCCATGTTCCATCCTGCATGGCAGAACCATTGCTCCTGCTCCTTTTGCGGTTGTGGGGAAGAGTGATCAGGGCTCTCAGCTAAACCTCCCAGCCCCCGGCTGGGATCCCCATTGGGTCTACCATTGGGGCTGGGAAGGGGAGTTGCTTATAAAAGGAGAGGGTAAGGGTCTTCTTGGAGACTGTACATCAGTTCTTGGAGACCTCCTTGTAGAATCTGCCTCATCCTCTCCTCTGCAAAGGCAGGAACAGGAAGAAGGACAAGGGTCACCCACCTTTGGATGGTGCCAAGATCTCTGAGATCCTGGAGAACCCCATCTGAGTTCTCTTTAGGCTCTTCCAAGAGGCACTGTGTGTCTCAGAGCTCCTTCTGCTAGTGGAGGATAACTAGAGTTAGCAAGGGGATGACTTGGAGAGGAGGGGCCCTCTGTGTCCTGTGGACCCTTGTGCTGCCTAACATTGTGCCAGGAGAAAGCAAAAGGTAGACAAAGTGGGCAGCTCCCTGTACTCAAGCTTGCTGAGAGTGTATCCTGGGCCTTTCTGGGAGATGTTATCATTCTCTTCTCCCTGTGTCCCTGCCTCCCGTGCACCCCTTGATGAACAATGTTAGCAGGGCTTGTCCTGTGCCCTGAGTTCTATGGCTCCTCCTATATACTTATCTGGCAGGGCCAGGGTGGGGGACATGTGGAAAGAACTCTCAGTACAAGCAGGAACCCTTGTCTCGAATTCTTAGGTACCTGCTTCTTCCAGGCCTTTCTTTCTTACTAGCCAGTGCTGTCACCTCAATCTAGGGCTTCCCAGCTCTTTGAGACCCCAGTTGAGCCAGAATGTTTTGTCTTGAGGGGATGGTGGGTGGGCCTCAGTGGCCATTATAGAGTTTCTGGGAGTCCTGGTTTGGGGTTGGGCTCCCTCAGGAGGAGCTATAGGTCTGTCTCCAGGTCAAGAGGGTAATTTTTATCTTTTCCCTCAGGAGCCACAAACCACCGTGGTGCACAATGCTACAGATGGGATCAAGGTGAGTGAGTGGTTCCTGAGCCAGTCTCCTGCTTTCCAGATTAGCAAGAGACAGGTGGGCTGGGTACAGGGTCTAATGCCAGTGGCCACCTACAGCCTGCACCCTGATGCTGAGATGTTTACAGAGGCTGGGTCGGAGGTAACGTATGTCTGTTAGTTTCTTTATTCTGAAGAAGGGCAAACCTTAGCAACTCTGAGCCCAGGCTCTGCAGTCCAACAGACCTGTCTCTAGACCTCTGGGCAAGTCCCTCAGTTTTCTTATCTGTAAAGGGGCATTGTAATAATAATAGAATTTTCCTCCAAGAGTGGTGAACCTAAGTGAGAAAAAATGTTAGCCAAAAAGAAAACAGGGCTGGGGATGTGGCTCAAGCGGTAGCGCGCTCGCCTGGCATGTGTGGGCCCGGGTTCGATCCTCAGCACCACATACCAACAAAGATGTTGTGTCCGCCAAAAAACTAAAAAATAAATATTAAAATTCTCTCTCTCTCTCTCTCTCTCTCTCTCTTAAAAAAAAAATAAAAAGTATTATTGAGCTCAAACACCTTCCACAGCTCTGGTTTACAGAGGTGACAAGCACATGTCCTGCCTGTGGGGAAGGGGGAGGAGCAGATGAACAGGAATTAAATAAGATATAATCCAATGGGGCTAAGTACCCTGAAGAAAATGGCACAAACTGGGCACAGTGGTGCATGCCTGAAATTCCAGCCCCTCAGGAGGCTGAGGCAGGAGGATCATGAGTTCAAAGTCAGCCTCAGCAATAGTGAGGCACTAGCAACTTGGTGAGACCCTGTCTCTAAATAAAATACAAAATAGGGCTGAGTATGTGGCTCAGTGGTTGAGTGCCCCTGAGCTCAATCCCTGGTACCACATAGGTTCGGATTTACATTGTTCTGTTCAGATGATGTAAGCTGTACTGAGAAAAATGCTGTCTCAGAGAAAAAAAAAAAAAAACCAAGAAAGTGAGAGAGTGTACAGGGTCTTTAAATGGTCAAAGAAGGGTCTCTCAGGAGGGGATAGTTGAGCTAGAAACTAAATGTCAGTGGGAAGGAGATGGCTAAATAACTATGGATCAGAGGGACTACAGCTATAGAGACACACATGCTAGAAGACTCAAGTGGAGCTTATCATGGTAAGCAAAGGCCAGAGAAGGGTAATGAATTTGGAAAAGCAGATAGGATGTGTGGTAGGGTTTGCGTTTTATTCCAGCTCTTGGCAGTTCTTTGCAGGGGAATAATATAATCTAAGTTGCATTTCAAGAGATTACTGTGGCCACATAAGAGCAAGAACTCAGGGAGATAGCAAGAGTGAAAGTACAGAAGCCATCATCATGGTTCAGATGTTAGACTGTAGCTGTTCATTTAAAGAGAAGAAGTAAGACATGGGATTTATCTTGAAGGTAGAAGTGATGGATTTTTATTTTATATTAGCTGACTGGGATATAAAGAAGAGAGAGAGAAAGAATCAAAGATGACTCCAGGTTTTAGCCTAAGTGACTAGGTAGATGATACCATTTACTGAGTTGGGAAGGTTGGGAAGGGAATTTGGGAAACCAGAGTTTTGTAAGCCAGAAAGCAAGCGTAAAATCGGGCTGGGGATGTGGCTCAAGC